CATTAACAGCCTGAGATATCAAGAAAATTGGGCTGGCCATTACATTATAAACCACAGAAGAGGGCAAATTCTTTAGCTGGATAGCGCTCCTTCTCATACTTCAGCCTCCACATCAAAGTTCCTGAAAGCAAAGAAGGTCAAGGTGCTCCAGGAGTGGCCAACCCAGTCACCAGACATGAACATTATTGAGCATGTCTGGGGCAAGATGGAGGAGGAGGCATTGAAGATGAATCCAAAGAGTCTTGACGAACTCTGGGAGTCCTGTAAGAATGCTTTCTATGCAATTCCAGGTGACTTAATTGAAATGTTATTTGAGTCATTGCAGAGGTGTATAGATGCAGTCCTCCAAGCTGATATTGTTAATTCGTTTAATTCAATATTAACCTTGCTTAATGAGACTGGTGGGCAAAATGTATTCAGCACAAGTCTATTACTGGTTTCTTCTTGGAGACCACCACCATGATCATCCTCAATATTTAGTAGTGGCCTGTATTTATTTTTAATGTATTTGATTGCCATAAAGGTGTCAGAAAGTTTAACCTGGTGCTATAAAATCAATCTGCTGCAGCTGACGCTATTGCCGTGAAACACACCAATCCTATGAAAATAAATTAAAAGGTTGATGAATTTTTATTTGCATGTTGTTGCTTTTTTAATGTTAATGTTAACTACTATTTTTATCTTCCGCGGGTTAGGGATAAAATATGGAAATTCTTATAGTTTATTAAAAGTTTATTTGACTTTTGGAAATCACCAAGCGACTTCCTATCATTGTTCCCCGACCCCCACTTTGAGAACCGTATAGACAACAGTGGTTTGTTCTAGAGCTGGGTCGATAACGATATCATATCGAATCAAAGATGATAAACTCTGGACATTTTTACTCGACATTGATCCTAAGTGACAATCACACAGCAGAAATATCCAACAACAGAAATCTATAATTGTGTTGATATTAGAGATTCACCAAATTTTTGGCCAAAAATAAGTCATGCTGCATCACCCAGTATTGTTTAGTGTATTCGTTTCACAGATAGAGACTCGTTCGAGCTGATAGAAAGGCAACAGTAACTCAAAAAACCACACGTTACAACCGAGGGATGCAGAAGAGCATCTCTAAACCCACAACACGTCAAACCTTGAGGAAGATGGGCTACAGCAGCAGAAGACCACACAGAGTGCCCTCCTATCGGCTAAGAACAGGAAACTGAGGCAACAATTCACACAGGTTCACCAAAATCGGACAAGAGAAGATTGGAGAAACATTGCATGGTCTGATGAGTCTCAATTAATGCTGTGACATTTAGAGGGTAGGGTCAGGCTGGTGGTGGTGTAATGGGGTGTAGGGGATTTTTCTTGGCACACCCTGAGCCCATTAGTTCCAACTGAGCATCGTGTCAATGCCACAGCCTACCGGAGTATTGTTACTGACTAGGCATGGAACAATAACCGATTTCAAGGTATACTGCGGTTTTGGAAAAATCAAGGTATTAAAACCGCATAATTTTTGCTATACCGTTTCTAAGGTATATGTAGCTTTTTTAAGTGTTTTTTCATGTGTTGTAAGGAAATGTGTTTTTGAAGCTAATGAAGATAGTAGAAGTCAATGGTTTATTTGAATTTTGTAGCCTGACATGTTTACTGTTCCAAAATATTATAAATGTTGCCTAAAATGTAATATACTGCATTAAATAGGGAAAAAAGTTGTTGTTTTTTACTAAGACACTTAAAAAGTAATTACTTTACAGCAGTAATAATCACAATACCGTGATATTTTTATCCAAGATTATCATACCGTCAGAAACTTATATCAGCCCTTGTTAAGTGTGACGTCACGCGAAGCGGCTTCTGGGTCCAAGCTCTCTATTCAACTGAATGGGGAGACTCATGAAATGGTAATAATAAACGTTTACAAAGCGATTTAAGGCTTTCGAAAATCACGATCGCAATATATATGTCCATGCCTAATATCCGATGGCCAGAAAGTGATTCATTTATTTATAAATTGTTAAATTTTTGGTATTTGTTATGCAGCAAGCCCAGAGATTGTTGTGTACACTATGACTTTATATAAGATTAACTTTAATGTGTGATAGGAATAAAACGTGATCATAAACGAATGATTTCTCCACTCAAATGAATGGCGGCTTGGACCCGGAAACAGTATTACATGCGTCACCACTTAACAAGCGGATTGCTGACCATGTCCATCCCTTTATGACCACTGTGTACCCATCTTCTGATGGCTACTTCCAGCAGGATAACACGCCATGTCATAAAGCATGAATCATCTCAGACTGGTTTCTTGAAAATTACAATGAGTTCACTGTACCTCAAATGGCCTCTACAGTTACCAGAATTCAATCCAATAGAGCAGTTTTGGGATGTGGTGGAACGGGAAATTCGCATCATGGATGTGCAACTGCGTGATGCCATCATGTCAATATGGGCCAAAATCACAGAAGAATATTTCCAGTAACTTGTTGAATCTATGTCACGATGGATTAAGGCAGCTCTTAAGGCAAAAGGGGGTCCAACCTGGTACTAGTAAGGTGTACCTAATGAAGTTGACGGTGAGTGTATGTTAAAAATAATATACTTAAAAATAACTAACAGAAAAAATTCTTCAAGGTCATTATCTTTTTTGGACCAAAATTTACATAATGCAAAACCCAGCTAATATATGATTTCTAAACCCTAAAAATGTCAATAAAATCAACATTGTTGATCTTTTCAACATTCAAAAGTTGTCACCAAAGTCACTAATACAATCCGAAAGCATAAAGAAACTGAAAACCACCATGAACAACAAGCAACAATAAACCATCATTGCACTAGAACTGTGTGTGTAAATTCAACAATTCAACAAGGCAATGTTTTTAAGACGCAGCCTTCAAATACTTTTCCCACTGCTGTCAAGCCCCAAAGTCTTTTCCTGTTTCAGAAACATGTCTTTCTTGGAGGAAGCATTTCACTTCGGCAGTCACTTATGCTGGACGGAATGTAGGAGGATGAGAGCCAAAAACACTGGCCATAAAAGAACTGGCTCTGCTCGCTTTCTTAACAACAACAACAGTCTTTCTCAATCAGCACTAAGTTTAAACTCATGACCGATTCCCTTAAATGTCAGTGCATGTGTGTGGTGTATTAGGATAAATAGGGGATGCTTTTCATTGAACAGGACTGATATGACAGATATAGATTGGCATACATGTGGCTTATCGTTTACCGATAATCCCTGCACACAGCGAGAGGTCATGGCGAATGCTGGTAAAATGTAATTGATGTGCTTGAGGGCGAGAGTTAGATAAGAGAGACATGGAGAGAGGCTGTGTGTTTACTGACTTCTTAAGGGTTGGTAATCAGTCATGGGCCACAGTAATGAATGAGTCTGAATGGATCTGGTTAAGCAGAATCACCTGACAGTGTGGCGTCTCCACATTAATGGAGGAGAAACTGAACACAGACACATCATGAGGATAAATGCATTTGTTCTTTTGGCATAAAGATGAAATCTGTGGAATGCCTTAAAGGAACATCAAACAAAAAAAAAATCTACAGTCTACCGTGGTATAATGTGATGTAAAACAGCTGGAAAACGGTGCACACATTGTTTTGTATTGGAGTTTTGTATGCAAAGACCACTATAAAATTGGAAAATGTTCAAATTCCATTGGAGTCATGAATGGCTGGAGTGCCAATGTTCTGTGGCGTTTGGAAAACAACTGGAAAAATAACATGTACTCGCTGAGAAAGGTGATGTCGGTGTATTATTAGGTAATCTCAGAGTTGAGGCCAGTGTATGATCTAATTTTTGTGAATTATGGTTCTCAGAAAGTAGAAAGAACTTCCAAAGAAGTATAAAAATTCAACTTTTTGAAGAAAGATGGAAAGAAAGTATACTTTTTATGAAGCTTGACTTAAGAAACTTACAAAACAAGAGAGATATCAAGTCAAAACAGAACAAGAAAAACTATGGATATATATTAGGGCTGCACTATATATCATTTCAGCATCGATATCGCAATGAGTGAATCTGAAATAGTCACATCAGTGGATCTCAAGAGATCTCAGGTTAAACTATTTGGACACAAGACATTATAACGTGCTTTAACAATTCGATTAGATTCAATTGATTTGGGCTTATATGTTTATAAATAAAAGAAAAAGTATAGAAATTACAAAACATTAAAGACAAATATATAAATTATATATTTATTAAAAGAAGACATTGTTATTTTACATTTGATTATTCAATTTCTATATCTCTATACTGTTAGACTCCGCCAAGAACCATAAAGTGTTGTTTACTTTGTTCTATTGTTTTCATCTGTGCTTTAAATTATATTACTTTGTGTAGTTATGTATAATTTTGCATATTTTATGCAGATGCACTCCCTTACAATCAATGTAAAATTGTGAGGTTTTTTTTCAAAATAGTCATCTTGTGAAATTATATTCATATAACAATATAAAACAATATATATTTTCCAATATCGTGCAGCCCTAATATATATATATATATATATATATATATATATATATATATATATATATATGTGTGTGTGTGTGTGTGTGTGTGTGTGTGTGTGTGTGTGTGTGTGTAGTAGTAGTAGTAGTAGTTTGGGGCTGAACTGTCCATTAAAATTGTTTATTTTAATATGACATAACTTTTTTAAACAATTAACTTTTTACATACTTTTACATACGCATGTTAGTCGGTGTCTTCTGTAAATCTTGGTAGTAATACATGATACTAACGTTACTCATAAAATAATATTAAAACTGCAGCCTATTGCACTTTGATGCACTTGCATTGTTGTTAGCTATAATCAAAAAAGGACAGAAACATAATATCACAAAATAAAAACTAATAACTAAACTAATAAGTTTTCACCAGAAAATTTACAAAGTTTAACTTTTACCCCTAAAATATATTATACAAAATTTACCTTTAAATAATATCGTGGGTATAACGAGAAAGAAATGTTTCGACCTACCGTGTGAGTGTCGTTTTGTAATGTAGATTGATAGCCGTGCAATGATTCACATTGATTTTGTGCGGATTCTTCACTTCTTTTCATCTTGCCATGGTCCGGCTGCTGTAAATCTCTCAAACTGAGCAGATTTCGTGATTTGTGACTCTTTAGAAACATGGTTTGCTCACTCCTCCAGGAGCTGCTGGGTCTCTCTTCAAAGTCCATGCAAAGAGCCACTGAGATTAATAACACCAAAACACAGCACAACACGGTGCTCATGGTTCCCGTTTAATGTGCACAAAAAAATCTTCTGCTTAAATATCCATTTATAGCAGGTTTGCTGATAATCGAACAGACCGTGCAGTGTTTACACTCTGACGCATGTCTGTAGAGTAGCCGCTGTTCCACTGCTAAACTCACGGATTGTTCAAGATTAGGACGCAACCGTCCTTTTGACACGCCCATTTTCATGAATATTAATGTAGTCGCGCAGAAGATGCTTGGTAACCTTTTGAATGGCGGCGAGTTCGCTAATGAATATGAATTAGGCTCTGACGTTATCCAATAAAAATGCTTGGTCGTCAATATTAATTAGGCAACATCGAAGTTACTCGGACATTAACCAATGAGTAAGGCCAGCCGAGCATTCAACGTTGTAGAACTGGGTTAACCACGCCTTCCGTTCATCAGCACTAAAGCAGGGTTCCACACAATTCCTTCTTGTCGTCCAAACACAAATAAATTAAGTTAACCAGTGTCATTAATTTAAGTGAATTAAACATAAAACAATTAAATTGTCCCAGAAACCCTTAGGAATTGTGTTGTTTCAACTCATTTTAAATAAGTAGTTTGAACAAGCAAAAAGTCATTTAATGTGTGATGTTTTAACTATTTACTTCTCTTATTTCAGCATCATCATTAAATTACTCATGCCTGTGATTAATTATTACACCTTATATCATCATAGCCCTCAAAATGAAAATATCTTTATAGAAACTTATGAGAAATTTATGTACTATAGCATATATTATTTAGCTTGTTTTAAATGCAATTCATTTAGAAAATGTTGCATATTAAACATCAAATAAATGAACATTACGTTGCAGTAGGGATTGAATGATAACTAGTTTCAAGGTTTACCGCGGTTTGGAAAAGTCAAGGTTTTAAAAATTGTTTATAATTTTTTTAACACCATTTTGTGGTCAAAATTATTAGCCCCTTTAAGCTATTTTTTAACAAGTTAAGCCTTTAAATGTCACTTTAAGCTGTATAGAAGTGTCTTGAAAAATATCTAGTAAAATATTATGTGCTGCCATCATGGCAAAGATAAAACAAATCAGTTATTAGAAATGAGTTATTAAAACTATTGTTTAGAAATGTGCTGAAAAAATCTCTCTATTAAACAGAAAATGGGGAAAAAAATATACAGGGGGCCTAATAATTCTGACTTCAACTGTAATTGCTTATTGACCGGGCAAGAGCCTTGGGCTCAGTTATCTCTGAGTACCTCCCGGGAAAGCATGCCAAACCTGCTGTTAATGCCAAGCATATCCAAGTAGGAACTCTTGAATACCTGCTTAAAAAGTTTTAGGACCTACAACACAATATTTCAGCGAATTGAAGAGTTTTTATGGCCTAAAATTTTGCTTTTGAAATTTAAGACATTTTAAGACCCTGCACACGCCCTGTTTTTTCCTATAGACATTTAAAAAGAACTTATATTAGAGCTGTAATCACAATACCATGACATTTTTTATGCATGGTTATCATACAGTCAGAATCTTGTACCGGCCCATGTCTACATGGCAGTAAAGCATAAATAAATAAAATATTAAATACATTTTTTTTAAATAAAAGAATATATATTTCTATTTTGCTAAACATACAAATTCATTGGAGTTCATACCACCTCAATTGCGTGGCATTTAGGCATGGGTCAGTATAAGATTCTGCTGGTATGATGACCTTGAATAAAAATATCGCGGTTTCATAGCACTGCTCTATACCAGATCCTTTTTAAATGTCTGGGTAAAAACAAGAACTTTTTCCCCTTTGAACACAGGATATTTTATTTTGAGAAATATTTCAAATGAATCATTGACTTCTGCGGCCTTCATTAGTTTAAAATGGCATCTTTGGATATCTTTTCTGTTAAAGATACTGCCGTCCTAAAAAAAACTGAAAACAAAATGTAAAAACTTTGGCAGAATATTTTGGCAAGTTTAAAACCTTGACTTTTCCAAACCGCGGTATACCCTGAAAATGGTTATCGACACATAACAAGTGACATTACATATATATCTTTATAATTAAATTAGCTTTTAATTTTATCAGCCTATAAGTGAGATACTCAGAGGAAAAAGAATTATTGAAACACCATTTTCAACAACAGTTTATTAACGCAGTGATTGGTAACAAAAAGAACCCCCCCATTTAATTCAATGACAAGATCTGCTGTCCTGTGCTTGTACAGAACTATAGAAATTTTGGGACTGACAGAAGGAAAAAGAAAAGTATAAAGATTCGATTCCCGTCTGAACAGGCAAACCGTACAATGCAGTCAGAGTATTATGTATCCATTCTGCTGTGTGATGATTCACACAAAAATTACACTGGACTTTTCATATTGAACATCTGTTATGCTTAGCACGTTTAGATATCCTTGATGACATCCTCCAGCTCTTCTTTTGTGTACATGTGAAAGGTTTTGCCCGGCTCTACAGTGGCAAGCTGCAGGGAAAGAGAAGAAAACAGTCATGACTTAGAAATATGTTTAAATTAAATTATATTTCATATGACCAACACCATGTGATCGCTTGAGCATTGTTACCTCAATATTGGTGGCATTGAGTTTCTCCTCCATCACTTGTTTCAGGATAGTGAGAGAAGACTTAATGGCATCCTTTAACGTCATAGACTGGAAAAGACAAAGACGTTTGTGTAGCGGGAGGAAAAAGCAACATCCATAGTGTAACTTGTGGAATTTTGCTTGGAAGCAATTAGATTTATGAAGAAGACTCTTGGACAGTGCGTCCTGCTTATTAGATTTCAGGGTCACATGGGCAAAGTTACAGTAGTAGAGGCATGACATACTGGAATGGGGAGATAGGTGGGGTGGATTTAAAAAAAGGACTCTTATTTTCTGAGCACAGGGCTCCAATTTGATCTGTAGGGTTCTCTCGGGAGAAACACTTTGCTCTGTGAAAATACCATCCGGAAATAACCTAGCAGTGACATTGGGGATCTGATGGATTTTGTTTAATATGCATATGTTTAATATGCAGTACAGAAACAAACACAAACTAATATAAAATATATAAGCTAGAAGTGGGGCCAGGGAAAATCTGTGGATATTGTTTGCTATTATATTTTTCTGCTATTATTAAATAAAAAATTGTGGACTTGGGCAGAAAAACTTTGAGAGTATAGTAACTAAAGGCTCAACACATTAAATAATACAAAATACTTTTTAACTTTAATTTAAACGTTGTAATACAGATACAACTAGAACAACTAATTTGGTAGACAAAGTACAACTTAAATTGTACATAAATCATACAAATTTGCATATTATATAATAATATTACTGTAATTAATATAAAAACTAAATTTTATAGTAGGGCATCATAGTGACAATTGGTAGCACGATCGCCTCACGGCAAGAAGGTCGCTGGTTCGAGCCCCGGTTGGGATCTATGTGTGGAGTTTGCATGTTTCTCCCCGTGTTCACATGAGTTTCCTCCGGGTGCTCCGGTTTTCCCCACATGCGCTATAAGTGAATTAGGTAAGCTAAAATGCCTGTAGTGTATGTGTGTGAATGAGTGTTTATGGGTATTTCCAAGCAATGGATTGCGGCTGGAATGACAGTATGACAGGTTGCTGGCCACTATGACAGTAGATAATATTTCACTAGATATTTATCAAGACACTTCTATACAGCTTAAAGTGACATTTAAAGGCTTAATTAGGTGAATTAGGTTACCTAGGCAGGTTAAGCAGGTCGCACACCAGAAGCGCGCTCGGTGCCGCGACACGGCGCATACATGACAGTTTAAAGTATCACACACCAGACGCACACATTCGAATGATATTTAACATGAAACTAATCAGATGGCGCTCTGTGGCGCGGCTGAAAAATTAACTGCGTCCTGAGCCGTCGCCAGGAGCCGCCGACAGCCGCCGACTTGCGGCGCCGGTGTGTGTATCCTGATAGAAACCTATGTTTAGAATTCTAAAATACATGCCGCTGCGTGGCGCTACGCGGCACGCCGCCGAGCGGCGCTTCTGGTGTGCGACCTGCTTTAGGGTAAGTAGGCGAGTTATTGTATACCAATGGTTTGTTCTGTAGACTATGGAAAAAAAATTGCTTAAAAGGGCTAATAATATATATAAATATATGAGCAATATTACACGAGTAGCAGTGCGATATGGCTGTATATCAGCACTGGTGGGGGCACTAATGCACTCGCCCTGCGGCCTCGTTCCATCGCACGTCTTCCACCAGTGCCGATATACAGACATATCGCACTGCTACTCGTGTGATATTGCGTTTATACAACAGTTTGACGGCATAATTGTGTATATAAAAACAAAATCAAACACGGAGAGTTTCAAAAACACTTTTGTATGTGGAACTACTTTCTTCCACATTGGGTTCAAATCATAAGCTGACGGTTAAACAGTTGAACAAGCATCTTTTAAACTTTAGATCTGTAGTGTCTGCTTTTTGCTGGCTGTATGTGGGCGGAGTAATACATAAAGGATAAAGAGGCTTTAGGAGTTCTGATATTGCGGAATATCGCACGGCTATATATATATATATATAACAAAAAAATCAAGCAAATACAAAAATGATCAAAAATTGATGATGACCTGCAGATAAAAGACTAAGATGTTTATAAGCACTTGGTATTTACCTTGTGGTAAACCTCTTGAAGAGAGCTCTGAGCGCCTTCAGATGCTGAGCCGATTGCTCTCGCGTCACACTGGACAAAAGTGCCTGAAGGATCCATGTGGTATCTGTGTATATAAAAAGGTTGGTGTGATTTATAAACACTTCAATGCAATCAAGTCTTTATGAATAAAGAAAATATATATGAACAAAATCACCAGGTTAGCTGTCCCTTTATATATATATGGTTGCACAACCTGGCCATTATGTTTTAATGTTTCACACATTACATTAAGGGCGTTTTCATACTTGTGCAAACGAACTTTCCAAAAAATGGACTTTAATGTGTATTTATCCAGGTCACATGCAACTGGTGTCATTTTTTTGTATAATTATTTTTGATGCATCTCAATAGTGATGTGAATGATTAGATGCTTAAAAACAATTTACACACACATATACATATACATATATATATATATATATATACATACATACATACATACACACACACACACAC